TTTTTTTTTTGGACTTTGAGACAGGATCTTGACTCTCGCCCAGACTGGAGTGCAGTGGCACTATCATGGCTCACTGCAGCCTCCACTTCCTAGGATCATGCAATCCTGCCACCTCAGCCTCCCATGCAGCTGGGACTACAAGCACACACCACCACACCTGGCTAATTTTTTTATTTTTTCGTAGAGGCTAGTCTCAAACTCCTGGGCTCAAGTGATCCTCCCGCCTCCCAAAGTGGTGAGAATACAGGTGTGAGCCACTGCCCTGGCTGCAAATTGATATACTTCTAAATAATAGTCTAATTTTGAATCTATTGAAGTGCACTACACTTTTTACAAATATAAATAATCAAGCTGGGCGTGGTGGCTCATGCCTCTAATCTCAGCATGTTGGGAGGCCAAGGCAGGTAGATCACCTAAGGTCAGGAGTTCAAGACCAGCCTGGATAACATGGTAAAACCCTGTCTCTACTAAAAATACAAAAATTAACTGGGCATGGTGGCGGGTGCCTGTAATCCCAGCTACTCAGGAGGCTGAGGCATGAGAATCGCTTGAATCTGGGAGGCAGAGGTTGCAGTGAGCCAAGATAACACCACTGCACTCTAGCCTGGATGACAAGAGCAAAACTCCATCTCAGAAAAAAAAAAAAAAAAGAAAGAAAGAAAGAAAAGAAGACAAATACAAAGAATTGAATGAGGCTGGGTGCGGTGGCTCATGCCTGTAATCCCAGCACTTTGGGAGGCCAAGGCGGGCAGATCACCTGAGGTCAGGAGATCAAGACCCTCCTGGCTAACACAGTAAAACCCCATCTCTACTAAAAATACAAAAAATTGGCCAGGCACGGTGGCAGGCGGCTGTAGTCCCAGATACTCGGGAGGCTGAGGCAGGAGAATGGCATGAACCCCGGAGGCGGAGGTTGCAGTGAGCCAAGATATCACCACTGCACTACTGCACTGCAGCCTGGGTGACAGAGCAAGACTCCGTCTAAAAAAAAAAAAAGCATTGAATGATAATAATACTGTTTTTATTTACCTTTACCTTTATCAAATTTGCATGTTATTTATGCAGGAAAAATGAGAGGTGATTAGTCCATGAGGGCTCTGCCCTCTTTAATGAGTTAATGCCATAATTGCAGGAATGGGTTCATCGCCTTCTCTCTTGTTCTTTGTCCTTCTGCCATGGGATAATGCAGCACAAAGTCCCTCACCTAATACAACCCCTCAGTCTTGGACTTTCTAGCCTCCAGAACTGTGAGCCAATAAATTTCTGTTCATTATAAATTACCCAGTCTGCCAGGTGAGATGTCTCACACCTGTAATCTCAGCACTCTGGGAGTCTGAGGCAGGAGGATCACTTGAACCCAGGAGTTCAACACCAGCCTGAGCAACATAGCAAGACCCCATCTCAATTAAAAATAATAATAAAAATAAATTACGCAGTCTGTGGTATCCTGTTATAGCACCACAAAATAGACCAAGACACTACAAATGAAAGATAGAGGTCAGTGTTTATAGATTTAATAATCACGGAACAAGTCCATTATTTCAGGTAAATGCCAGGTATTCTTAGTCTTAGGCCTGAGTTGGAAGACTTTCAGAAATAAGAGGTGGAAGAAAAGTTTTAGGTTCATGAAATCCTTGTCATTGGAAAGATGGTCCAGGAAGAAGTTCTGCTCTAGGTGAGCTTATCATGGCCATTCCTGATAAGGATTAGGATTTGTGCCAGAGTCAACCAAGCCATCCGTTGGGGTAGAAGGAGAGGAACTTCTTGAGACACTGATTAGTATTGTAGTTACATCAGGGCTCAGATCAAAAGCAGCTGCTATTTCTGACTCCTTAGTGGTCCCCTAGAACTAGGGTGAGGCATGGGTTTCAGTCCAAGCACACTTCTTCCATTAATGATCATAGAGTGCCTGGAATATCACAGGACATCTTTCATCACTGAGGGATAAAATGCTCCTCCACCTCAGGCATGAACTTAAAAGATCTCTTCATTGAGGAACACAGATATGTTATTGCTATTTTTATAAAGTCTCTGATTAGAACAGGAAATAGAACACTTGGCATATATAAGTGAAATTCATATATTAGTTGGAAAGAGACCACAATGTAACTTTTTGGAAATTGCTTTAACAATCCCTGGTTTTAGGCTGAGTGGGTGGCTCACATCTATAATTTCAGGGAAGGTGAGGTGGGCAGATCTCCTGAGGTCAAGAGTTCAAGATCAGGCTAACCAACATGGTGAAATTCTATCTCTACTAAAATTACAAAATTAGCCAGGCGTGGTGGCGCATGCCTGTAATCCCAGCTACTCAGGAGGCTGAGGCAGGAGAATCGCTTGAACCCGGGAGGCAGAGATTGGAGTAAACTGAGATCGTACCATTGCATTCCAGCCTAGGCAAAAAAAGTGAAACTCTAAAGAAAAAAAGAAAAAGAAAAAAGTCCCTGGTTTTGAGAACGTTACCAATTTTTTTGTTTTACTTGTTCCTCTGTTAATTTTTAACTCAGGAATGTGGCTTGCTTAATCTCTCCAGCAACAGCTCTTTTGGTATCACAAACAAGGACCCAATTGTCATGGGCTTTCTTCTGCAGAACAACATTTGTCTTGTAAGATATTTTCACATTCTGTAGTTTATTTATTGAATTCACTGATTTTAATATTTCCCTTTCTCCGTACCTGATTGCTCTGATTTTTCTTTTCTACTCAAATTCTTCCAGAAGGTATCTTGTCTGATTAATGAGCTCGATTTTCAGCTTGCAGCTTTATAATACATTTTCTAGGGGCCTTGAGCTGACGATAGTGAACAACTATCCTGTTTCATCTTCCTTAAGTGTTCTGATTATGCATAATTGAGATCTCATCACTCAGCTAAAGTTACAAATGGGTTCTCTCTTCTTGATCTAATGTTAATATAGTTTGGGTCCTTGTCATACCCATTCCCTGTGGTGATAAATTGTAAAATGTAGCCACAAGATCCTCCCATGATCCTTTGCAATGTGACTTTGCCCTTCCTTCCATCAAGAGGTCAGCTATTTCCCCACCTGCTGAATCTAGGCTGATTATTATTATCGTTTTTTTAAGACAGGGTCTGGGTCTGTTACCCAGGCTGGAGTGCAGTGGTGCAGTCTTGCCTCACTGCAACCTCCACCTCCTGGGCTCAGGCCATCCTCCCACCTCAGCCTCCATAGTAACTGGGACTACAGGTGTGCACCACCATGCCTGGCTAATTTTTGTATTTTTTGTAGAGATGGGGTTTCGCTATGTTGCCAAAGGTGGTCTCTAACTCATGAGCTCAACCAATTCGC